ATTCCTCAGTGCCCTCTCGTGCCTCACACACCCTATGACATTGAACCAAAGTGCAAGCGGAGCTCATCTAAGTGAAGTATAGCCTCCGTTAACACACATGTTCCTCCCCGTATCCCTGTGGGAGTGATTGAACCACTTGAAGAAGACGATTCTGCGATCACTTTCAGAGGTGGGCTCTGTCATCTTGAATGTAACAAAGCTTTGCTATTTGTTCCCTTTTTTAACATCACTGCTGTGGCTTGATCTTTTGACAAAAACGGGAATATTATTTGTTAAAAATTCCAATTTATAAAAATAAATCAAGTGATCACTCAGGGGTGATCTGAACTGATTTGCCTTATTCTGCTATATAAAAAAAAGTTCTTAAAACTAAATTGTGCAGATAAAACTATTTATTCTAACAGAAAAGCTTTCTTCATACTATTGTATTTTTCATTATTGATTACAAAGAAAAATGTTTCATTATAATCACAACTGAATAATGAAAAACATCCATCCATCCATCCATCCATCCATCCATCCATCCATCCATCCATCCATCCATCCATCCATCCATCCATCCATCCATCCATCCATCCATCCATCCATCCATCCATCCATCCATCCATCCATCCATCCATCCATCCATCCATCCATCCATCCATCCATCCATCCATCCATCCATCCATCCATCCATCCATCCATCCATCCATCCATCCAGGATTTGATAAAAATAAAGTAATTATTTTTACATTTTCTTAAGTCTGTAAAAAATTATGTCTAATTATAGTGTCATCAAATGATATGACAGATGCTGACTTGGATGGAGAATCAGCTGTCTCTGATTAAAGTTTTCATCTGATTAGTTTTGCCACATGTTTATTATTGTGTTTTATCTTATCTTGGGCTCTTTAATATACACAATTGTACTTGAAGACGTTCTTTTATTAGTTGTACGTCACAAACGTGAAAAAGAGGGCGCTCAGTCCCTGGTGCACACTCCGATTATTACAACTTTACACGACCAAACCTCAGCGGCTCCAATCATTAAACAGTCACCACTCATAACAGCGAAGCAGCGGGTTTGGTATCCCGTGAAGATGACCAAACTTTATTTGCTACTGAGCATCAAGTGTCAACGAGTGTGACTCGTTGACACTCTTTGGTCCAAGGAACATTGATCCTGAAGTCCTGCCGTTTGTCTACATTCAGTTATGTTTATGTCAGAGTCCAAGCTTTTCCACCTTGCACATCTTTCATAAAAGTTAAAAATGCAGTCCAAAAGTCCCATGATTGCATTTTGTGGTTTTTGCATTCTTGTTTTTGCATCTTATAGTGTGTTATCAGGCTTAGATATCTTGTTCCTCACATATCTCTAGATTTAATAATGTTATTAAAAATTTAGGCTTTTCTTTAGTGGCCTAATATTTTCACAGAACAAAAGGACAAAGAATGTTCTTTTTCTGTTTATTTTGCAAGCCACACATTCTTTAGAAAACGAAAGACGACTTCAAGTTATCTCAGCAAACACACAACAACATATAAGAGAGAAACAAATAGCCATAGATTCTTGAATTTGATTAACATGGTCATTGAAACAGCTTGCACACAGATGGCAGCTACAGAAACTGTGTTTTATGTCTTGTTTTATCTCAGCAAGCTTCTGCAAAACTACATAAAGAAAATAAAAACTTCAGAATGAACCACGTCCTCCTGGAATACAAAACAGGGATTCAGTGGAACTGCTGCAGAAATGTTTTGGCACAGTAAAAGCTGATGAATTATTACTGCCACTCTGCCCTGAGGTGGAAATACTTGAAAAATTCTAATGTTGTCTCATTGCTATGATTAAAAGGCAGACTGCACATTGAAACCAGAGCCAGGTATCAACGTTTCAGTATTTAAAGGAAGAGTGAGCGCTTTGCAAAGACTGAAGCACAATTTGAAATTGTTGTGCTGTTGACCTTATGACCTTAACCTTCAAAACTTATTTAGCTTTCCTTTTTTGTTTAGTTGCATCTGTTTCATTCACACCTACTACTGAAATACTTTAATATTTATCAGGAGAACAAATATGGACTGTGATGTCCTTAAGGTTTGCCAGCCATAAAACTCAAACTGAGGGAATTTTGCATCCATGTTGATCTTTGATCAGCTCTGCTAGAGGGACTCACAGGGAATAATTCAGAAAACAAGGCAGGATGCAGCTTCATCCGTGGAAGGAAGGATGCCCTGAAAGTGTTGAAAGTAGCCCGTGTCTGCAACTGGAGGCTTCTGCAGCTTTACAGCGTCACCACACATCAAACTGCAAGGCTGGTTAAGCTGAGCGGAGCTGCTGCTTGTCTTTGTGTAGAACTGTGTGAGATGAGGAAGGCTAATTGGACTAATTAGCACCAAAACAAGACTCAACTGAGCAGTCTCCCTGTACCGCAGATAATGTGTCTCTTTTTTTTTTTTCCTGTTTGAAAACAGAGGCAGGGAAAAAAAAAAGAGCCTCATTTTCAAGGCTAACCCAATGTGGCCTTATTAGGCTCTGTGTAGTCACAACTCAGGTGGGTAGACATGTTTTGATGTACCGAAGCTTAAACTAACCCTTGCCACAAGAGCGGAAACCTCAGCAGCAACAGGGGAAACTTCTTAGCTGAGCCTCGCTGAGCCCTGTGGGATGAAAGCTTTGCAGACTTTACACTGAATGTTTAGGCTTAGTTTTACTTTACAAACTGTGTGATGCTACTGGCTGCGATATCAACTCCTGAATATCTAATAAAAGCTTCATTAAACCTGCACTTTGGCTAAACACACAATGCCCAAACATGACTAGGGAGACAAACAGTTCTGCAGCTTACATTACAGAAAATGAAACATTGGTTTTCTTTATTTGATGTTGTAAATCTACAAGGGGGGAAAAAATCCATTAATGCTCCTATTAAATCCATCACTCACTGTAAAAGCATGTGGAGGACGCGAAAGCTTCACAGACCTGCTGTGCGTACTTTACAGTTGCTAAGCTACAACTGGACAAACTTAGATTTAAAGAGACAATGAAACATGTCATTTTGATAGCAGGTCAGTGCGAAGTGTGCAGATATGACGAATACCTCTGCAAATATTCTGACGCCGACAGCAGTCGCACAGCAAGACGAGGAATCCAAACTCTTCAGATTTCTGTGATGATCAATCTCCTGTGGGAAGCATGAGTGAGATCAGTCTGTGAGCTTCTCAGCCCTGTTTGCTGAATTTGTAACACATTATGTTCTTTTAATGTAGGTTGAAATGCCAATAAAGCACAATATGTTTAAAACTTATCATTATCACTATGTGACTTGTCAGTTTTGGATGAAAACGTCCAAATCGTTAACTTTCATTCTCTTGTCTGTCACAGATCTGGAAATGTTGGCTACTTTAAAAAAGTCTCTGAGTCAAGAGAAAGATTCATATTTAGGTAGAGAAAGCATATGTTATATGAATTAGATGTTTGGAACAAACATGTAATACTGTGACTTAGGATTGGCCTGTATTGGTGGGTCTCCTCAGCACAGGACACTTTGCTGAAGCAGGAATTTTTTTAGAAAATAAACAAACAAACAAACATATATATATATTCTTGAAGAAATCTTAAAGAAATAATGGATATATTCCAATAACCTTTCTCATGCTGGATTTTTTAAAACAGTGTTGTCATTTATCCAAGTTTCAGTCTGGTCCAAACAGAAATCCATTTGTAAGAGCCAAAAACGTCAGTTTGTGACATTATTTATTACTGTGAATGCCTTTTGCATAGTTAGATATTTTCTTAATACTAAGTTTCCATTTCATCATTATTTCCAGACATTTACCACGGTTGTGTTCATCTCGTTATTTAAAACTCAAAAAAGATTAAACAACTGCCTCTAACTGCAGGCAAGTTAGAGGCAGTTTTATCTTCTGCATGTTTGTTAGGGTGCAGAAGGTTTGTTAGGGTGCTGTATACTGTGAAACACTTGAGGTGTTTCACAGTATACGGCCGTCGTGTGCAAGATGGAAAATTACTTTTGCAAATAAAAATGTAAAATAGTATATCCAGCAATGAGTTTATATATTTGTATTTAACCAGGAAAGTCTCATACAGAAAGACGCAGCAGTAGAAAAACAGCGTTAGCGGAGTACTCCTTACATTCAGGCTCCGTAAGCTTCAGTTTCTTCTTACTTTTGTTCTTAAGAGGTGTGTGATCCCAATTCACCTTCTGTTCTTTAACAGAAGGACCCGACCAGCTCAATTTCCTCAATAACATCCTCGTCGCAGACCTCTTGAAGAGCCGACCGGTTGTAGTCACGGTCGGACATGCTAGCTTCCGTAAATAGACTCCAGACAACAAAAAAGAACAAAAAAACGGCTGAAATAGTTTCAAAAAGTTACCAAAAGAAGTAATAAACTGGGGATAAAGCACAGCAATTGGTTAAAGTCTTAGCTAAACAGTAACTGAACACGAGAGCCTGCAAATGCAAAACCTCTCATTCCGCCATCTTGGTACCTCTCAGACAAACAATAACAACACAACAACAAACCGACCCGAACCCGGGATCGGGTCGGTAGTGAGCATGCGCGGGTTCAGGTCGGTAGTGCGCATGCGCGAGTCCGGGTCAGTACTGCGCATGCGCGGGTTCGGGTCGGTAGTGTGCATGCGCGGGTCCGGGTCAGTACTGCGCATGCGCGGGTTCGGGTCAGTACTGCGCATGCGCGGGTCCGGGTCGGTACTGCGCATGCGCGGGTCCGGGTCGGTAGTGCGCATGCGCGGGTCCGGGTCGGTACTGCGCATGCGCGGGTCTGGGTCGGTAGTGCGCATGCGCGGGTCCGGGTCGGTACTGCGCATGCGCGGGTCCGGGTCGGTAGTGCGCATGCGCGAGTCCGGGTCGGTAGTGCGCATGCGCGAGTCCGGGTCGGTACTGCGCGGGTCCAGGTCGGTAGTGCGCATGCGTGGGGCCGGGCCAATGCTAATGTTTGTTGTTGTGTTGTTATTGTTTGTCTGAGAGGTACCAAGATGGCGGAATGAGAAGTTTTGCGTTTGCAGGCTCTCGTGTTCAGTTAGTGTTTAGCCAAGATTTTAACCAATTGCTGTGCTTTATCCCCAGTTTATTACTTCTTTTTGTAACTTTTTGAAACTATTTCAGCCGTTTTTTTTGTTCTTCTTTATTGTCTGGAGTCTATTTACGGAAGCTAGCATGTCCGACCGTGACTACAACCGGTCGGCTCTTCAAGAGGCCTGCGACGAGGATGTTATTGAGGAAATTGAGCTGGTCGGGTCCTTCTGTTAAAGAACAGAAGGTGAATTGGGATCACACACCTCTTAAGAACAAAAGTAAGAAGAAACTGAAGCTTATGGAGTCTGACGGTAAGGAGGACTCCGCTAACGCTGTTCTTCGTGCGGTAAGTGAACTTAACGCAAAGATAGACAATCAGACTACCATTTTGAAAAGCATTGAAAAACGGATCGAAGCCAATACTGTCGCCATTGAGGCGAATTAGAACCTCATATCTGAGCTTGAAGCTACAGTTAATCTTCTGAAAAAAAGAGAACTCTGCGCTGAGGATCTCCTGTCCCCGTGATACTGTCGAGACCGTTCACAGATTGGGGAAAATAGCTGGTCCCGCTTCGCCCAACAACAACAATATAATATATTCACAGTATCGCGCTATTTATGCTGCAGGTTGTTATCGTTCTCCTGTCTTTTGTCAGTGGATTAGATCATATTGTGGGTTGTCCTCTATAATTCACATTGTTGTCCTGTTTGTTGAACGTTTAGCACCACCAGGGGAGCAGCTACTCTTGACAGTCATGACATGTAACATCTGCGAGTAAGTTTGTATAACAAGATGCTTTTTTATTTTTTATTTTTGCAATTTATCACTGGCAAGTGATGTCATAGGGGATGTTTAACAGTTACTTCCTCTAACTAACCATAAAATGTAACAGCACGACCTACAACAGGCATTATTTTAATTAATTTATGTCAGAGAGTTTAGATCACAACATCTCTAATAGATATTTGTGATTCCCAATTTAACTTAATAAATTAGAATATAATTGAAAATGTTTTTTTTTTATTTCAGTAGAACTCAAGTAGATTAATTTCTCTAGCAAGGTTAGCAAGATTAGAGTATAAAGGTTTATTAAGAAAAGTGTTGAGAGGATGGATGGATTGGATGTGGACGTCTGGGAAGACTTGCTGATGAAGTCTTGGGAGGAAGAAAAGACAATTTACTCTCTGCAATGAAGAAGATTGGATGAAGAATTAAAATAGAAACTAGGGGTGAGAGTGATGGGATGGAGAGGTGAAAGAAAGATAATTTTATTAAAAAACATTTTATGCATCCTAAAGGGAAATTAAGTGATGTCATAACTTATATCATCCAAATATCTTCAAAGAGCCGCTGCTGTGCATGATGATGCTGGAGGCAGGAAGGATCTCCATTAGCAGTCAGTCTTCAAGCATTTCTGAAGACATAGTGGCAGAGAGAAAGGGCAAGGTTGTGAGCGATCTATACAAAGGGGTGATTAACAGCGCTAAGACCCTCCTCCTGATTGATTGGTTGTTTTTGACGGAGAAGTGTTCCCCAGGTTCAATGGGGTAAGGTTGAGGAGCTCAATTATTTTCAGATTATTTGTCTCATACCTGACACGACAGAGTGAGTTTTAACAGATATATAAAAACACACATTCATTTTTCAAATAGAAGTTACATACTGCTGCTTGCAGGAAAGATGTGGCTAGTGGAAATTTGCTGATTTAATTTTCATACCAGTGTGTGCCGACACAGGTAAGTGTCAAAAGTACAGTTACTTATCAGTATCTGTACTTGCTAAGCCTGGTGGTCGGCCTCTGGGGCAGTCATTCATCCAACAGCCATCTGGTTTTTCAGCTGAAAATTGTTTAAAATTGACAAGAAATTTTAAAATATCACTTGATAATGAAGTGTTATTGAAAGATTAGAAGATTAACACCTGAACACCTAATATAAAGTCTTTAAAAAATGCAAACATAAAAAAAACTTAAATAAATAAGCAATGTTTAGCTTGGTTGCCTGCCAGGAAACCCTGACTTATGGCGCTATTGTTCTTGATTGACATAACCTAATCTCCATAGGTCAGAAGTCAAAGCAATGTAGATCTCTTTAGCACCTTAGCAAAGCCACAGACAGATTTCCTCCATGCCTCAGAGCTGCACTGATTCATTTATAAAGAGAGCCTGTCAAGATTTTTAGTCTATTAAAATTAACCTGTATGCGACTGCTGAACTTCCTTTCACAAAAGTTTGTAGAAAATTTCAGTACTTCAACAAAATAATTTAGGTTCTAGCGCATGACATGTAGTTTGATCTTATTGTAATGTTTTGTTCAAGTAAGATTACAGCACAATCAGATAAAAGAAAGCCCTCTGGTGCATTTGAGCAGGAGGATATTTATCAGTTTGTTTTCTTTTTTTTTTTTTTACCTGCAGAGGACACAGCTGAGCTTGATGTGAACTAGACGCTGCCGCTCTGCGCTCCTGCTCCCCGCTGGGGCTTTCCTGTACGCTTTTGCAACGAGTCTTGTTTGAGGCCGAGTGTCATTGACAGCCCACCTCACACACTCAGCCTCTGTGAGCTGCAGCAAAAACACAAACCAACCTTGCCTCTAGCTGATGGGATTGTAATAATGAAAATAGATGCTGGAGGTTTGCACATGTCTGACTGCTGCGCTCCTCGAGCAGCTGCGTGTTTATGTGGACGTGTTGTCTCCTCTTGTCGGTTTGCTGAGGATCAGCCGAGCTGGTAGGTGTGTTCACCTCATAGCCACGCTTCATCCATGTTAATGAGGATATAAGAGCTCCAATTCCTCAAGGTCGAACACTGTGGGATTAGACGCCCCCTGCATCCTTATTCCATATGCCGTGTCTTGGCAGTGGACACTTGCAGATGCGAATAACCTTAAAGCATATGAAGCTCTATGTTTTACATAAAAACATCATGTACTTGAGTTGTTCCAGCAGTCAGCCAGGATTTTTGCATCTTTATTTTATGTAAGAGAGAATTAATTCAGATTTCCCACTGCTGAGCATCAGAATGCTGTTAAATTTAGATGTGAAGAGAGTTAATCACTGTAAGCTGTCAATCGCAGACGATGATACAAAAAGCCTCCTGTATGACGTCACATTTTGTAAAACATGGCCATTACCTTTCTTGCAAAGATTTGGCACATTCTCACATTAACCGTGGGTCAGTAGAAGTCTTCGTTAGAAGCAGAACTAGAAAAAGAACAACTTGGCTCCATCTAAATGTGTGAAAATTTCATCTTGTACTTTTGCATGGCTGTGGTAATGTGCTGGACTACTTCCTAACAACAAGCGCAGTTGCCAGGGCTGCCCTTGAATGGAAATATCTAAACATTCAAATATCTTTCTGACTTTCATCTAACATTCCTTTCAAGATGTGTGTATAATAAATTTTTTTAGGACAAAAAAATAAAAAAATACTGCAGTGTATTTTTTTTTTTATGAAATCAGATTTTATGTCCAAATGTTCCTGTATTGCCTATTTTTTTTATAAGATTGTATTTATTTATTATTTCACTTTTCCACTAAATCTATATCTGGTTCTGTTGCAACAGACTGATTTTTGTCAACCCGAAACATATTTTGATTGGCTTTTGGTTTCTTTTTCTGAATTTGAATTTTTTCTTATCACAATTTTCCTTATTTTCTGGATAAATTGAGTTGAACATATATAAACATTAAAATGACCCAGCTATTTGAATTGGTCTTTGACAGAAATGCACCGGGGATGTTTGGATCTCTTCAAAACGTCTTACCTCTTTTAGGTAAAAGCAAGCCCTGACTTTGCAGAGCCCGTATGGAGGGAAATAACCTTTCAGTCAACGAATATTGTTCTGGACAGGAAATTACAATAATTTAGTCTCCAAGGCATTTTGTTTATGAATGTCAAATTCCACCAGAGCTGGTGCAGAACAATGTGCAGCATATGATCAGGTCATTAAGCTTTTCCACAAAGTTCTGTAAATATACATAGGCAAACAACAGTTAATGGGACACTGTAAGTTCATGCAGATGTGTAAAAATCAAGTTTCCTCTCGCCTTCCAAACAGAAGCAGAGTCTTTCAAAGGCAAAGCAGCTGCATAATTCCCTCATTTGTTGTTTGTTGTCCATGTCATTACCCAATTTGACTCACTGCACTGGGTGTGTATTGCTCTGACGCTTTTCACATCAATATTTTGTAAAGAAATATAAAACACAACTGTGTCTGTTTTCCAGTTAATGTTAGCTAATTACATTTCTACTGCTGCATCTTTCTGTATGAGCCTTTCCTGGTTAAATACAAATATATAAACTCATTGCTGGATATACAGATACAGATTAATTAGAAAAACAACACCTTGGTCATCAAAATTTGACAGTTAAGTAGATTTTATTGAGGTAAGCTTTAATTCACTTAATTGTTAGGGATGGATATGTAGTGTTTGTTGAAATGTTTTCCTAATGCATTTCATTGCAAGAAAAGATAACATTATACCATCCAAATCTATATAGTGTGATAGTTCAATCAACAGTGACTCCTTCAATTTAATATCTACATTCTCCAACAAGCTCAGGTTACAAGCTAATTACTTACCACATTTGTGGTAAGTAATTATGATGTCACCAGATGATTATGAAACCATTGGATCACTGAGGAGATGCTTGGTGCTCAAATGGGTACATGCTCCCTGTATGTGCATTACACACCCATAGGTCTGCCTATACTGAGCAGGAAGATGTGGGATTTTTAAATTTCATACCATCAAATTCAGATTTTTTTTTTTTACAATCCTAATTCTTAAAAATGTTGTTTCTAAAGAGAAAACCAACAAATTAAAGCTGATGCACTTTCAAGTACAAAATCGTACATGCTGCAGAAGTCATCTGAGAGTATTGCCATGGATTGTTAATTGCCAAGTATGTTAATTTTGGGGGAAAAAAAACAAAAGATTTGGCACAGCTCTGTCCATTGCACAGTTGGTCCTCTGTTTGTCTTTTTAAGTCCTCCAGAGCGTTTTCGAGGAGAGATTTCCATGCTTGAGCTAATCTCAAAACCCAGAACCAAATCTGGAATGTGGCAAGTGACTGGTTGTCTGTCAGGAGAGATCCTGCTCCCTCTACCTCAACAACCTAATCAGCCAACCGTGACCTCCTCTGCCTCACTGGGACACCCACATAAGCCAACAGTTTCTCCCACATCCTCTGTGCACTTCCCTCCAAACAGTGTAATCCCAGTTTATAGGAGGGATGAGAGACGCAACACCAGTCATAAAACGGGACTCACAGCCTCCTCCAGCTCTTCTGTTGTTTTTCCCACTTGGTCCGTGAGTGTCTTGTGTTTTTAGCTGCATGAAATAAGACATTTGCAGTTCAGCCAGGGTCATTGAAGCTGCAGGATTTAAATACAGTGCTTCTAAAAAAATCTGCACTTCACTAAAGTATATGGATTTTGTGAAATACAAAAATGAAACCAAGATGTCACTTTAGAATATTTTCCTACTTTGATCAAAGCTTAAACAACTCCCAAAAAGTAAACAGAAATTATCAAGAGATAAAATAAAGTTTCTAAAAATGATGTCGCTGCCTAAATTATTACTTTGTAGAAAAACCTTTTAAATTTTATTGCAGCTCCCCGTCTGCTTGGATTTACCAGTTGGACTAATCTTGATTTAACACTATTTTACATTTTTATTTGTAAAAGTAATTTTCCATCTTGCACAGGTTTCTCCTGTGCCTGGATTCAAATCTTTGCTCTTGCTTAAATTTTAAGGAACATAATTGCAGTTTTTAGCTGAATAATAATGTTTCTTTTTCCTCCCTTTATTCTGCTGCTGACTGGCACTTGGGACTGTTCATAATACTGCCATCACCATGCTTCACTGTGGATGAAGTGTTTTTTTTTTTCTTTTTGGGAGATGTATTGTTTTCTTTGTCAAACAAAGCTTTTGGAGTTGTGACTAAAACATGGTCTGACTTTATGTTTTAATGGTTCAGGCTAAATTTACTTTAAATCCTCTTCTATTTGCACAAAATACTGGACTTTTCTTTTTAAGTAAACATCAGGCTGTGCTCATTCTAGTCTAACTTTATAAAGGAACCAGAAACTGTTTGCCGCAGTAAAGTCAAAAGGTGTTGTCCCTCTTCGCTGTGTCTGCGTGTTAGGAAAGTACTCTCTGCATTTGGTCAGAAGCTACTCTGCTGGGCTTTATCCGATTCAGAGAAGCTGAAGAGCATTGATTATTGGAGGTTGCTGGTCAACAGTACCGAGTCAAAAAAGTTTGCTGCAGGTGAATGAAATGAGGATCTTTTTTTCTAAAGAGATTAGGATAAAATGTGTTTTATGAATAAACAAAAACAGTATTTCGAGCTTTTGAAAGTTTGTGCTGCATTCAGGGACCTCATTTGGGAGGAATTATTCCTCACTGCTGAAGTTTGTTTCTCAAAAGCAGATATAGACACAGAGTAAGAAGCCCTGCAGAGATGCTGATTACCTGCACCGAGAGCTTTGACTCTTCTGTTCCACCAGGTCTCTGCATATACTTACATGATGCTCACATTCACATGGCCCCTCAAAATTGCGGTATTTATTTCTTCTGTCCATCCCACACAACTCAAGCAAGGCTCACTTTTTCTCACCTCCTCACATTCATCCCATCATCAGTGTAAAGTACTTCACCCCTGCAGACAGAGACAGACGGAGGAGCCAGCAGCAGCCCCCTGCTCAGACACTGTGATTTATGCCACACTTACACACCGCTATGCATGCATCCACGCTTAATGCATGTAAGTGCACATCAGCGGCTGCATGCATAACGACGCTAAGACCTGCCAGTGACACCCAACTGAATGCATGACAGCACCTGCCTGGTGCTAGAGTTAAATGCCACGGCTCAAGAGCTTCTTTGAAAGGACACGTGCGTCTTTGAAGCAGCGGGATCTGACATCATTTGTCCCTTTCTATGACAGGTAAAGTGGAACAGGCAGTGAGCAAATTTCTCTTGCTTCGTCCACCCGACAAATCAGTAAAGCTGCAGTCTGTGGCAGCTCTTTACCGCTACAGTGGAAGAGCAGCTCCACTTTCTGTTCAATGTCACACAAATAAACTCAATTCTTAAGGTGGATAATGAGCAGGCTGTCCTGTAGAAGCAAAGTCAGTAAACTGAGGGTTGTGTTGGTGTGATGAGGTCTGGGCCTCAGAGCCATTATTATGTTGCAACAAGGACGTGGTTACTGCACATTTAGCAACCCTTATTGAGCAAGGTCAGTGCATCACAGCCTCTCTCTAGCAACCTTTTAATGTAGATTCTGTGGTTTGGGTGGAACACAAATCAGATTGTGATGGAAAAACAAGGGACAGAGGGTGGAAAGAAGTAGTCGGGTGGCAGAAGACAGGTTGGAAACGGGAGAGAAGGGATGATGATGTTGGGTGGAGCATGGAGAAAATAAGCAGGATAGAGCAGTGGTAGAGACAGCAGGGGGAATCGTTTATCCAGGAGCCCAGGTAAGGGTGACCTGTTTGTCTCTGTCGG